GCCGCGGGGGAGGGGCGAGCCGCGGGGGAGGGGCGGGGCCAGGGCGGGCCCAGGCGCGCGGGGCTGCACCGGGCGGCGCAGGGTAGCGGCGCCCCTTCCCTCCTCAACCGGCAGGCGCCGCGCCCCCGGCCCCGCCCCTTCGCGCCCCGCCCCCGCCGCTCGGACGGCCCGAGTCGCGCCCTCCCGCCCCGCGCCGCCGAACTTGCTCTAACTTCCTCGGCCGAGCCGGGCCGCGCCGCTGCTGCAGCCGCCGTGCGCGGGTGAGTAGAGCGCGGAGCCTGGGCTGGGGCGTCGGGCCCTGCCTCTTTCTTTGTCTGAGGCAGACTCCCCTGGGCGTCCTCCGGGGGCGAGGGCTGCTCCCCCAGGTCCCCGCTTGGTCCCTCAGCCTCCCTCCCTGCCTGCCTTCCCGGGGGCGGCCCCGCGGGTGGCGCTGGCTTTGTCTGCCAGGATCGCTCGCTTGAGGTTGGAGGCCTCGGCGGGGACCCAGCTGAGCCGAACTTCGGCGCCGTGCGGGCGAGAGCCGCGGCGGGCCCGGGGCTGGCGCTCCGGGTTCGGCAGCCCTCGCCCCATCCGCGCGCTCCGGCGAGTGCGCGCCCGGGCCGGGCGGGGTGGGAGCGCCGGGGAGCCTGGACTGCTGCTGCCGCTCCGGGCTCTCCTGCTCCTCGTCCACAGCAGCGAGCTCGGGGATGGGCGCTCCTTTCGGCTCTGTCACCCACCCTCGGCCCCCCGGAGCTCAGGTTCGGGGTCGGGGTGGGCGTAGGCCGGGGCGGGCCGCCCCTTCCCCCTGCCCCGCCGCGGTGGGTCCCACTCTTCCCGGCTTGGGTTTGGGGCGGCTGGAGTCTGAGTAGGCGGCGACCCACCTTCTCCGTGTTAGTCGTGTGGGGTTGTGCCTGGGAGCAAAGCCTGACCCCCTGACCTAGCCGGAGTTCTGGTAGAGTGGGGGTTTGTGGGTGCGGAGTGTGCTGGTCCCAGGCTGCTGCTGCTTCTCCTCTGCGCACAAGGGTGGGGTGCGGGTGGGTAGGAAGTGCCTGTGTGAGGGTGTGTGGAGGGACTTTGGCCTTGGGACGGCTGGAGCGCTTGTGTTGGGGACTTAAAGTTGGTCTCCGGCGAGAAGCGGTCCGTGCCAGGGAAAGTTGGGGGAAGTCGTGGGCCCGGGTACTGGCCTGGCTCTGGGCGTGGAGCGGTGGTGAGTGCGGCGGTGTCACACACTTCTTGGCTGTCCCGGCGCTGCTAACTGGGCAGTCAGGCGGTCTTGGGCGGCAGTGCAGGGCACTGTATTGGATCCTCTGCAGGTGTGCTCTTGGCAGTGGTCTGCTCTCCAGGGGATCTTCCTCCCTTCTGAGAGGGCGTTGCTCTTGGGCTAGTGAGAGAGTGGACTGCCAGATCCTCAAAAGTAGCCTTCCCCTCGCCCCTTGACCTTGAAGTCTAGAAGCAGTTAGTGCCTGCTGAGTGCTCCGGCCACCCTTAGCTACCCGTGTCATCAATAGCCTCAAATTGCTGGGCTCAAGTGATCCTCCAACCTCAGCCTCCCAAAGCAAAGGGATTACAGGTGTGAGCCACCATGTGCAGTCTGATCCCAGCCCGATCCTTAACGTTATAGTGACAGGCCGTGGAAACCCAGGCCACCAGATGTATTTTCCCTTCTCATTGTGTTGCACCCCAACTTTAGTTGGAGACTTTCTGGATATATCCATCCCCGCATCTCTGAACTCCACGGCTTGGAGCACCTAATGTGATCCTCAATTTACTTAACAAAGCATGGTTAAGATTCTGTGGGATGCCAGGCATTGTTTGCAGGCATTGTTCCAAGTCTGGAAAGTCCCTCACCAGCTGTATACTCCATGTGGTCTTAGAACTCAGGCTGGACGTGGAGTAGGTGCTCAGTAGTGTTTATTGATCTGAGCCTGATCTCAGCATAGCAGGATCATTCAGGGAGACGGGGGAGCTGAGCCCCTGGGTGCTTCTGTAGGTTTGTGGTTGTCCCAGGAAGAAAGGGTATGGAGGGGCTGTGGGCTGCAGAATGGTTGGCTGCCCAGGTAAGTGTTCCCCGTCACCAGCTGGGCTAGTTTCTGAGGACAGGTGAGGGTGTCTCCCTTCCCATGTGGGAAGTGGCAGGACGAAGTTAATGCTTTGTGTGTGGGAGGAGATGGCCTTGCCCTGAAGGTTGTGGTGTTAGTGAAGTTCCCATGGAGGCCAGGGAGCAGGAAAGCCCTGGGTTCTGTAACTATTTCCTGAGGCCTCACTCTAGGCCACCATGTGCTCAGAGATTTGACCTGTTTAACTTCAACTGAGGCAGAATTCCTTTTGGCAGTGTCTACAAAGTGCCATTGTGCCAGGCCTGGGAATCCTTTGCTGGTTTAAAATCTTGTGAAGGACAAAATTATAGCAGTCATGTGGAAAGTTTCATAGTGATAATGAGTTTATTGAGACTTACACCCTAGTAGCTTGATTTATAATAACTCATTTAATCCTTGAAAACAGCCGTGATGGCTGGGCACCATGGCTTATGCCTGTAACACCAGCACTTTGGGAAGCTGAGGTGGGTAGATTCCTGAGGTCAGGAGTTGGAGACCAGCCTGATCAACAGAGTGAAACCCTATCTCTACTAAAAATACAAAATTAGCTGGGCGTGGTGGTGTATGCCTGTAATCCCAGCTACTTGGGAGGCTGAGGCAAGAGAATCGCTTGAACCTGGAAGGTGGAAGGTGCCATGAGCCTAGATTGTGCCATTGTGCTCCAGCCTGGGCAACAAGAGCAAGACTCCGTCTCAAAAAAAAAAAAAGAAAAGAAAGAAAACAACTGTGATGTCTGTCAACAGCTCCATTTTTACAGAGGAGGAAACTGTGGTCCCAAGAGGTCACAGACAGAGTAACTTGCTTGAGGTCTCAATATGAGCTGGATTTTCTCATTTCTTTTATTTTTATACTGATTCTTACTCTGTTACCCAGGCTGGAGTGAAGTGGTTCGATCTTGGCTCACTGCAACCTCCGCCTTCTGGGTTCAAGTGATTCTCCTGCTTCAGCCTCCCAAGTAGCTGGGACTACAGGCACACGCTATCATGCCTGGCTAATTTTTGTATTTTTAGTAGAGACAGGGTGTCACCATGTTGGCCAGGCTGGTCTCGAGCTCCTGACCTCAAGTGATCCACCCGCCTCGGCCTCCTAAAGTACTGGGATTACAGGCATGAGCCATCGTGCCTGGGCAGGTTTTCTCATTTCGAATTTAGTCAGTACCTTCCTCTCAGAGGTGATTAAAATGGATTCATATACCAAACAAGACTGGCTCACAGTGGAACTAATGAGTCTTTTCAGTGAAGGTGCCCTTGTATCCCTGCTTCTGAACACATCTCATCTGTCCAGCACAGCCTGGGCAGTTACCCTGGAGCCCCTGCTGATTGACTGGTGATGTAGCTTCTGTCTCCCTAAGGCCAGGGAATGGGAAGACAGCACTGCCACATGAGAAGACTGGGGAGTCACTGCCTGTGTCTGTCTGGAGATATGGTTTGCTGTGGTAATAGCAATCCTCAGGTCTCAGAGGCTTAAAGCAACAGATGTATATCTTGTTCATGCTGTATATCCATCACTTATTGCTTTATGTTGTCCGCACTGGGGGACCCATAGTGATTAGTGGGAACATCCCTGTTGCTTGGACAGAGGGACAGAGCATGATGATCTCTGTTTCCTGCCACTGAGGCCTGGTGGCCTTTAAAATGCCTATGGGAAGGGAATTAGGCTCCTGCTGCCTGTTTCTGTCCTGCCTTGTCAGTCCTTGGACATCTTGCGTGGTCCATCCCCTACCTGGATGTGGCCTGTAGGGACAGCCACCTTTCCTAGAAGCAAGAGCAGGCAGCGATACCCCTGGTAGGGGTGTGGAAAGGAGTGGTGGTGAGGTGACTGAAGGTAGACTCCCACTGGGGACGGGATTGAGTGTGGGGCTAGATCCCTGGCTTGTAGAAAGGAGTAGGAACCCTCTGTGAGTTACATTTTCCCCCTCAGCCCACCTTAGCAGGATTTTAAAGAGCCAGCCGGACTGTGACTCTTGCGTTTGTGCCTGGTCACCTGCTTGGTCTCTGGTGACTTCCCTTGGGGCCAGCAGACACCGGTGGAGGTGATGAGGCCTCGGGTTCTTTCGCCTCATGGTTAACTCATTCTCCTTAGGCATATTTCCACCTTTTCCAGGGCCTCTGTTTCTTTGCCAGTGGAGTGAGAGGTGGTGGTGTCTCCAGCAGTGGTCCCACTCTTGGTGGGCCATCAGAGTACCCAGGGAGCTACATAGAATGAAGTTTTGAGAGTCTTTGGTCTAGGAGGATGCCAGCGTTTCAGTTTGCTTATCTTCCCTTGTAGCAATATCAGGCAGGTTATTCATAGTATCTCCACATCCATTTTCTCCCTTAACTGCAGATGCTTTCAGTTTAGACAGAGCATGTGGCCATGTTGGTCGAGCACAGGCCCTGGCAGGGGGGCAGCATCCAGTGCCTCTGCCAATGAAATGCGAAGATGTGAAGATGAATAACACTGTCCAGCTTGCAGAGTGGACGCTGGTGAGGCAAGCTTTCAAGTTGCATCTACTTTCTAGTTGAATGACCTACACAAGTCTTGGATTTTTTTTTTTCTCCTGCAAAAAAAAAAAAAAAGTTGTCTAATTTTCTCATCTGTAAAGTGAGAAGAGTCAAGTCTGCCTTTCCTGTCTCACGGGGTTGCAGTGAAGCATGAGTACACTGAGAAGCAGGATCCAAAGCCCCTGAGTTAGGCCTGACACCGGTGTGAGACAGCTGCCATCTCTGGCGGCTCTCAGCAAGTGCTCACCAGCAGCTGATTCTGGAAACCCCACTTCCTGCACTCTTGGGCTTGGTGGGGTTGGGTAGGGTTGGGTGGGGCTGTGGTTTTCTTTTAGGAGGCAGCAGGCCAGGCCTGGAGACCAGAGCTTAAGTGGGTCTGGGCAGGCTGGAATTGAAACTCTTCACCTCTTGAGGTCTGTTCTGCCTCCCTAGCCAAGAGGCCAGGGAGAAGGCCAAGAGCCTGTGCCTTTCAGCTAGATAGTTAAAGGGACTGGCTCCTCCCTCCTTAAGCTATGCTGGCCTGAGCTGGGAGCCTGAGAGCCGGGGTAGTTGTCTTTAAAGAGGCTTCTGGGATTCTAGTAAGAGATGAGCTCCTGGTGCTGCCTCAGAGTCTGTGTTCCCTGGCATTTGGGAGAACTGAAGTTGGGCTGTCCTGAATGAGTAAAGCTTGGGGAGGGGGCTGGGACAAGGGGCTAGTGAACC